TCCTGGGGCTGCATTTCAGCACTAGATGAAAGTGGAAAGGGGGCGGGGCTAAGAATGTCAGCGAGAGGGGGAGGGAGGGGAGGGCCAGGGAGAGGAGAGGTCCTTAGGTCAAGAAGGAGAGCACGCAGTTCCATTGAAGGACACCTTTGCTCTGTGTGTCTTTGAACAAGTCATGTCCCTCTTCTGGGCCACAGTTTCAACATCATTCATTTGAGCGGTGAGCCCAACAACGTGTCTCAAGGGGACCTAGGGGTGGAGCCAAGAGACCTGCTTAGGGAGCTCCCAGTGAGGCTTTAGGACTTGAGTCCTTCCAACTCTGGTTGAAATTCCAGCGAGGCTTTCCTTTTCAACTGCTGTCCAACCTCTTGACTTTATCCTGAGTCGGAAGGACCCAGGATCTGACCACAGTGCCAGCAGCTAGGTTTCCCGGCAAGACTTTGGTTGGGTGAAGGTTCAAGTCCATTGGAGAGGAAGGGCAAGGGAGCAGAAAGACCCTTGCCTAGGGCCACTCAAGATGTGCTCGGTGGGCCCACAGCACCAGGGTTACCTGGAACCGTGGTAGAAATGCACACCCTTGGGCCCCACCCTGGACCTTCTGGAGCTGAATCTTGGGAGGGGAGGGTCAGGGGGCAAGAATCTATATTGTACCACGTTTTCCGGGTGTTCGGATGCATCTTAACTGTTTTTTATTTAAAAGAACATTTTTATCTTGGTTACAGTGATGAGCTTTGTAGGTTTCCATTGTTGGATGCTACTGCACAGGTTAGAAGTTTGAATCCATTCAGAGGCTCTTGAAAAGAAAGGCTGGGTGAAAATCAGTCCCTGAAAATCCTGTGGAACATAGCTTTACTGTCTGACACATGGGCATGCCACAAGTAGGAATCGACTATGTTTGTATTTATGTTTATCACAATTCAACAGCGCGTAATATGACCATTTTAGGGTCTGATTCCAAGTTGCCAGAACTCTCAAAACACACTGCCATCGAGTCAATTCTGACTCTGTGGGTTTCTTTTTGTTATTATTACTTTATTTATTTTTGACAGTTTCACCATGCTTGTTAACTTTTTTTATTTCTGTTTTTTTCGGGGTTTGGGGGTTGTTGTTTTTTTCGGGTTTTTTGTATGTTAACTTCTGAAAAACACTGGACGACTTATCCTACCTGGGAGGACTGTGGTACGAGTCAAAGGATTTATTTGGTCCTTGTTGGAAAGAAAGTGCTGGACCACTGGCGGTGCTTGCTTGTGGAAGTGTGACCAGAGCAGTGTCTGCACAGCAGGGGAACGGGGGAGTAGTTGAAGGTGGGTAGGGACACCACGCCCTGCACTGGGAGTCAGATCCCCATCCTGGTCCCAGACCAGACAGCAATGACCTTGTGGCGAATGGTAAATGTGATTAAGAGGAGAATGGTGTCTCTCCCCGGCCCAATCCCCATCTCAGCCTCAGTGCCTTAAGCTGTACAGCAAGGAAGGAGGACGGGCCCTAAGTTTCTCCTGCCGGCCTCCCAGAGCCATTGCTACAGGGGCCTTCGGAGAGCTGGCAGTAAGGGAGACAGCAGAAGGAAGAAGGACTTCGCATCTCAAAACACTCCATGAGCTCCTCCCAGCTCAAGACAAGGAGAGGATCTTAGAGTCTGTATGTATGTTGGTCAGTTGGGAAGGACAAGGCCCTCTCTGTGAGCCAGAGTGAAGGGGAACTTGAGAGAGAGGTTCAAGGAAGGGCTGATGACTATAGGACAGCGGTTCTCAACCTGTGGGTCACGACCCCTTTGGAGTTCCAATGACCTTTTCACACGGGCCGCCCGATTCATCACAGTAGCAACAGTGATGAAGTAGCAACGAAAATAATGTTATGGTTGGGGGGGTCACCACCCCATGAGGAACTGTATGGAAGGGTTGAGGCATGAGGAAGGTTGAGAACCACTGCTGTAGGAGATCCAGGGGTTCCCAGTGACCTTGACAGTGGCAAGGGGCAAACCTTTCCACCCTCATCGCAGCTCCCTATATGCAGTATTAAATTTAAAAATGACGCTGAGGGAGGGGTGGGGGGCCAGCCCCCACCACTAATACTCCTATTTCTTATACTCAGATTCAGTAATACTACTTCTGGGTTCAGTGATGCACAATTGTATGGTTGAGATATATAAATAT